GCACACATAGCGCACCAAGCCAACGAGCATCCCATCCACTGCCAGCATGCGTGCTGCTAGCGAGCCACGGATGCTTGGCGTTGCATTGCTACGCGCACACACACAAGCGTATTGTTGCTTGGTCTTGTGCTAGCGATGCACAAGCACACGCAAATGTAGTGATGGTGTTGTGCTAGCAACGCATATGCACGTACACGGACATGCAGCGATGATGTTGTGCAGTGCTACACCTTGCCTACTGCCAGCGCCCAGCACATCCACACGCACATGCGATCCTGCGATGGTGCGATGGTGCTTAGGCAGTGGTAGGCCTTGCCTAGCGCGCATGTCTTACCACGCCTAGCATGCTAGGCTTGCGTTGGATCTCGCCTAGCCTAGCACTCACATGGCTAGGCTAATGCAAGGCTACGGCTAGGCTCGTACTTGTAACTCGATTGATTTTGCGTCTCGTCAAAGTTTAAATTCAACTTGACTTGTGACGCTCGATCTCGACGCTCTAAGCTCGATATCCGTTGTCTTTGTTCGTAAAACTCCGACGACTCATCAAAATCCTTCGGATTGATTCGTCGTCTCGGATCGGTTGTTCGATTGGGTTCGACCCGAATGGTTCAGTCAAGATTAAGTTGTAATATTAATTGTACATTAATATTACTAATCGGAAGCGGCCTCCACCTAGAAATTCCGATCACTTGACCTTACTAAAGAATTAGCTTTCCGATAATTATGAACCCTCTATCGGAATAATAAACTTGTTGGAAGGACACCATTCCTTTTAATCTCCCACTTGTCCTACCGGACAAGTGTGCATATAGTGTATAGCCCATTTCCTATGTCGCTTAATGTCTCTTCGTGAACTATAAGGTAAGATTCATCGTCATCCTTATTACGTTCATAAGTCTTTCTTGATCTCCGAGTTCGACTGTCAATAAGCAGATGATTTCTAAAATCCATCTAAGCACGGCCATGCATTTTCACAGTCTAGCTCATCGAGCGGCCTTGTAAACAACAAAGACATGTTCCCTATTGTTAATAGGGGGACATTCCCAGTCTTCCATTGTAAGATTCTCTTACTAAGAGGACCTAATCTCCTGAGTATTCCCGTTATGATCCTCTGTTACGGCAAACGTTAGGCAACATCAAAGAGACTAGTACTCAAACAAGAAAACTTCACAATATTCATGGTCGAGGAAACGAGTTCCGATAGCTATAATGAGAAATGTACTTATGACAATTTTGAATCTCTTAAAGTACTCTTATAGGTCGATCCAGTGCAGTTCCAAACTGGCACCTGTGCAAATGATTTATGACCATCATGTCCTTACAGCACAAGAAACGGTGCTGTAAATCATACTACACACTAATCTCTAGTGGTCATCAATCATCCATCAGTTAGATGACCTCGATTAGGGATAATTTTCGATTTAAATATTCAATGTTCACTTAACAGGTGTTTCTTTATCCAAGACATGGTCTTGATACCCTGTTTTGAATATTTCCATAAATCGAATGGACTTATTATTTAATTTTAAACCACAATTAAATAGTTCGTGGAATTTTATAAGTAAAATTTTATTCCACTATGAAACTTCCAAACGTTTCTTCTTATGATAAATGGCTTTCTTCAAATGTTTCAAGAGTAATACTCTTCATTAAACATTTATAGAAATCACACCCATATCTAATATGCTTGATTTCTTTCATGCAATTGCAAATGTTGTCGTTCACTTATTGCATAGGTTTAGCCACTATTACTTTGGAAATCTTAGCATCTTCATTATCGAACAATTTCATAATAAGATAACAAGATTTTGAGAGTGTTATGGATCATATGTGATTTAGGATTTATTGTCCAAGTGATGGATCCCACTCATTTTCATGACTTGAGATCTTTCAACTTGAAAACCTACAATCAACGTTCGAAAACGAACTTTCCATTGAACACTTTCCTTTTATTGCCTTCCAGGCAACAATATTCTCAACGTATATTTTAGTAGACATTCTGACGTTGCTTTGCTCGGATTTTATTCCAAACGACTCACAAAGATTTGGGAGGCCCTAATCACTTGTGATTATGGAAATTTTCCTTAAATCTCCGCACATTATACATGGATCCGTGTCCATGTTACCATTCTAAAGCCACGACGCATTCTAGCTCGTGCTTATAAAGGACTTCCTTATTAAGGATCTAATCCTTGCTAAGGATGTGCTTGCAACATCAATTCTCAACATCGTAGCAACATGGCCGTGCATATGCATGCTTTCGCATGGCACTGCACCGCATCATGCGTGGATAGGTGCTAGGCACCATCGCAGGCCCCTCGCACAAGCATAGCACTATCGCATGGCTAGGCTAGTGCGTGTGTGCGTGGTCGTGGAGGGCATCGCAATGCAGCACCAAGCATTTGCATAGCTATGTGATTGCGTGCGTGCCTTCGCATGGAAGCACCAAGCACAGCAAGCTAGCAAGCAACACCAAGCCCAGCATGCGTGGCTCGCTAGCAGCACGCATGCTAAGCCTTGCGTGCGTGAGGGGATGGAAGGCATGGCTATGCGTAGAGCCTGTGCGAGGGATGCGAGTGTGTGCGAGGCAATGTGTGGGAGTGCTGGGAAAGCGCCAGCACGCTAGCACAACCCAGCACTAGCACGCAGCAGTGCCAAGCATCGCCCAGCACCAACACGCACTGCCTGGCTGGGGATGCAAGGCTGCTGGCTGGTGCTAGCTAGCACGCTAGTTGGTAGCCAGCCAGCCTTCCTTGAGCCGGTTTTGTGCTTGCTTATGGGGACCAATCAAGGGCCTTGGGAGCAAGGCAAATGGTCCCCCCACCTAGCCTTGGCCATCACTCACTAGCATGTGATTGTGCCACTTGTCGCAATGTGATTAAGTTGATTATTTATTTAATTTGGAATTAAATAAATTGTTGATTTTACCAAATCTCCCACATTGATGGGAGGTTGGAAATCAAGGGTGCTCTTCCCTATAAATACCAAAGGCATGGGTATTGGGAAGGTCCAACCTTGAGTGGAATTAAAAAGGCAACTCTTGTAATTTGAATAAACCTTTGATTCGTAAAACTCATAGTTTTGTTTGTCCGGGTCTTGACTAACCTTCAAGACTTGGGACGCTCGAGTCGGGTCGAGGGTACGATCCGTCGGAGCTCTCGTAGTTTCGGGATTTTGAAGTAAGAGCTCTTCGGAAGCGAAGCACGCAACAAAGGTATAATTCTTGTTCTTACTCTTGCTTAATTATGTTTATTATGCTTGTTAATTGCTTTAATTAAGAGGCGGGTCTTGGGGGGTTTCCTTCCGCGTAGTGTCGGGTCACTGCGAAACCCTACAGCGGTACTGGAGCCATGCTCCTTTTAATTTTTGCAATTACTTATTAATTAAGGTGTTTTAATAGAGTTTATTTTTCTGGTTCATGTTCTCCTAATTAGATTAGAAGCTCGTTTTAATTAATTTTAAAACTCGGTTTTATTCTCGATTGGGCTGTCGAACCCAGATTTTGGCTCAAAAATAGTGAATTTTGGGTGGAATCGACCTTGTGAAACAGTTTCATCTCTTTCCAAGGATTGTCTAGAGGCAAATTCGAACCAGAAACCCATTTTTTCTGGGGTTTTTCGTTTTTCAACAAAAATTTTAATTCTTTTTAAGCCTTGATTAATGCAAGCATTACAAGGTTAGATTAAATGCACATTTTCATCACTAATCTACTGGTTTTAAAAATATTCTTAAGCATAATAATGGAGTTTTTATTAGTGGTTAAGTTGATATACCATTTTTCACATTAACTTGTTTTTTCACAAATTTTGCAAATAAATTGCAATAAAATGTGAAAGCTTGTTGAGAACTTGTAATTTTAAGTTCCTAAAATGTTAAAGTTCTAATCTTTAAAGGTTTAAATGATTGGAACCCTAACCCTAGATTCCATATTGAACAAAGTATGGATTTTTCATGTTTGGTTGATTAAAATCCATCAAGTTCAAATACTTGTGAGTAAAATTTGACTAATCTTCATATTGGAAGATGTAATCTTGGTATTTTACACAAGTATGAAATTTGGAAATTTTTTTCATTAGATGATTAGTTTATTTTTCCAACTCCCCTTTGTCAAATCCATTATTAATTTGCATATTGGCAAGATTAATTATGGACATAGCTCATTTTATTTTAAGCATAAAGAAAGACCTAAGACTAAACGAAAAAAGGAAATTGGCAACGGTTCAAACCCCCCCAAAGGCAACGGTTTTGAACCGTTGAGTATTTGACGGTTGCCAAATCCCAAATAAATTGGCAACGGTTCAAAACCGTTGCCAATCCAACCAATTGGCAACGGTTAACCGTTGCCATTAACCATGCCTCCTTTTTTTTTTTTGTTTTTAAAAGTAATTGGCAACGGTTAACCGTTGCCAATTGCTTGAGTTGGGAACGGTTAACCGTTAACAAAGCCAATGGCGCGCTTTTTTTTTTTTTTTTTTTTTTTAAACATTGGCAACGGTTAATCGTTGCCAATGACCTGTATTGGTTTTTTTTTTTTTTTTTGCTGCACTAATATTGACCTGTTTTTTGTATTTTTGTTTTTTTTGGCTGCATTAATATTGACCTTTTTTTTTTTTTTTGCTGCAATAATAATAATAATAATAATAATAATAATAATTATTATTATTATTATTATTATTATTATATTAATAATAATAATAATAATTATTATTAATATTATAATAGTAATAATAATAATAATACTTATTATTATTATGTATGATAATAGTAACAATAATTAGTAACATTAATAACAAAACATAAATAATTAATAATAACAATCGCAAGAGATGATATAAATTAGAAAAATGTTTCATGTATAGTACATAATTAATAAGCTAAGCCTAGGATTGATGAAGAGATGATATAGTACAAAAATGTATGACGATATTTACAAATTAAATGTGATGCAGGTCGCCAACATCTCCCGAATTACATGGAGTTCCTCGCTCGTGTATGAAATTCCCGTTTGCCCCTTGCAAAACTTAGAATACACAAAACGTGAGTTAGTAGAAGTGAAATAATAATAATTGGGGTTAGTTATAGGTGACTAATGCTTGAGATTATAAGAAAAGAGCAAGTAAGAGGTTTTGGGACGCAATTTCAACCAAAATGGCTCAAGTAAGGCCATTTTGGCTACTAGGATGCCTATTTTCTATATTTCTTGTCTATTGAACTCATAACTAGTTAAAACATGTCATTATTACTTAGTTATAGGTGACTAATGCTTGAGATTACAAGAAAAGAGCAAGTAAGTGGTTTTGGGACGCAATTTCAAGCAAAATGGCTCAAGTAAGGCCATTTTGGCTACTAGGATGCCTATTTTCTATATTTCTTGTCTATTGAACTCATAACTAGTTAAAACATGTCATTATCACTTAGTTATAGGTGACTAATGCTTGAGATTACAAGAAAAGAGCAAGTAAGAGGTTATGGGACGCAATTTCAACCAAAATGGCTCAAGTAAGGCCATTTTGGCTACTAGGATGCCTATTTTCTACAATTCATGTCTATTGAACTCATAACTAGTTAAAACATGTCATTATAACTTAGTTATAGGTGACTAATTCTTGAGATTACAAGAAAAGAGCAAGTAAGAGGTTATGGGACGCAATTTCAACCAAAATGGCTCAAGTAAGGCCATTTTGGCTACTAGGATGCCTATTTTCTACAATTCATGTCTATTGAACTCATAACTAGTTAAACCATGTTATTACCACTTAGTTATAGGTGACTAATGCTTGAGATTACAAGAAAAGAGCAAGTAAGTGGTTTTGGGACGCAATTTCAAGCAAAATGGCTCAAGTAAGACCATTTAGGCTACTAGGATGCCTATTTTCTACAATTCTTGTCTATTGAACTCATAACTAGTTAAAACATGTCATTATAAATTAGTTATAGGTGGCTAATGCTTGAGATTACAAGAAAAGAGCAAGTAAGTGGTTTTGGGACGCAATTTCAAGCAAAATGGCTCAAGTAAGGTCATTTTGGCTACTAGGAGGCCTATTTTCTATATTTCTTGTCTATTGAACTCATAATTAGTTAAAACATGTCATTATCACTTATTTATAGGTGACTAATGCTTGAGATTACAAGAAAAGAGCAAGTAAGTGGTTTTGGGATGCAATTTCAAGCAAAATGGCTCAAGTAAGGCCATTTTGGCTACTAGGATGCCTATTTTCTATATTTCTTGTCTATTGAACTCATAATTAGTTAAAACAAGTCATTATCACTTAGTTATAGGTGGCTAATGCTTGAGATTACAAGAAAAGAGCAAGTAAGAGGTTTTGGGACGCAATTTCAACCAAAATGGCTCAAGTAAGGCCATTTTGGCTACTAGCATGCCTATTTTCTACAATTCATGTCTATTGAACTCATAACTAGTTAAAACATGTCATTATTACTTAGGTATAGGTGACTAATGCTTGAGATTACAAGAAAAGAGCAAATAAGTGGTTTTGGGACGCAATTTCAAGCAAAATGGCTCAAGTAAGGTCATTTTGGCTACTAGGATGCCTATTTTCTATATTTCTTGTCTATTGAACTCATAACTAGTTAAAACATGTCATTATCACTTAGTTATAGGTGACTAAAGCTTGAGATTACAAGAAAAGAGCAAGTAAGAGGTTATGGGACGCAATTTCAACAAAAATGGCTTAAGTAAGGCCATTTTGGCTACTAGGATGCCTATTTTCTACAATTCATGTCTATTGAACTCATAACTAGTTAAAACTTGTCATTATCACTTAGTTATAGGTGACTAATGCTTGAGATTACAAGAAAAGAGCAAGTAAGTGGTTTTGGGACGCAATTTCAACCAAAATGGCATACCTCTTCAAGCTGACGTGTGTCTGTACAATGACTCATCACTATGTCATACATGAATCTCATCACGTATAGGCCACAGTCAACTCCGTTTTCCTGTTGTGCGCACTATCATGAGGAACAAAGCACTTGAATCAAAATGCATAGCAAATAAGCAACATCTTAAGCATTGTAAAGTAAGAAAATCACAACATCATGGGTGAATTACCTTGGGTGCTTTCCATGTAGGACCTCGAGGAGATCGAGGATTTATCTTCTTCATGGTACTACAAAAAATCAAAGTAATAAGTTCAACTTTGACTAGTATAATCAATACATATGAGTTAAGATATGAAAAATGAATAATCAGAAGTGAAACAAACTAGATGCTTACTTTTGCAGTATGGACCTCACGAAGCGCTTTCTTACTTGAGGTAACCGAGCAGAATCAAAGTATAATATTGTGTTACTGGAAACACATATCACAAGTAGGGTCCAATGATAACTATACACGAGACAAACAAATCAATAGTTAGCCTATTACAACAAATAAACTGGGAAAACAAATGAACTTGACTAGCATAATCAAACGTACTCCTCATAGTATGGGACGAATATGAACTTTTCTCCCTCACTCACTGATTGCCTGATACCCCGTTCAGCATAGTACAACACGTTAGCGGAGTTGCCTAAGATTCCAGCAGTGGACATCTGCTCAAGGCACAACCACCCAACTTGACAAGGAGATTCAAGCTCCCATATTTGCTCCTGGAGTGCTCTGCATGCATGATATCACAACGTTAATCGAAAACCAAACGACAAACACCACTAAACTGAATAATATAAATTGAGTATCAGTTGAATTAACTCATGGATATTTGAATGAGGGAAATGTTAAGCATTGCACCACTTAGAAATTCCTTCACATCTTCTTTGAATAGCCATGCTGTTGCATCATCATCGTAGTGGAACATTTCCTTAGGAAGTTGGATTTGGATGGGGCTGTCATTAGGCAACACGCAAACACGGTTGTGCAAATAAGCTAACTCCTGAGATAGCGATTGAAGCACCGTGTCTTCAACTAATGGAGTAGCTTGCGTAGCTGAACCTCGTGAAGGGCTCTTCATCGACGCCTTTCCACTCACCGAGCCATGTTCACTCTTGTTCTTTGGCCCCTCCACCCTCTTCTTTGGCGTTTGGCTTTTCCTCGATGGCTAATAAGACAGATCACACAAATGGTTAGAAAAGATTTCCATCCAACTCTTGGGAAGAAAAGATGAAAGCGTGAAATCTAAATCTTAATTACCTGGTTCATCAACCGTATCCAAGTATATGGCCATTGCACAAAACTACCTTTTGTTGCCCAGAGTGTAGTGAACTCATCCTCCTCCACAGCCACAGGTATTAAGATCTCCTCGAACCCGGGAACCACAGAATGGATCCCGACAGAATAATGCTCAGGCAGAAGAGCTCGAAGAGGGACCGTGCCTTGTTCGGCCGGTTGTGCACTACCATAGGCAACAACTTTAAAAGGTCCGTCATATGATTCCCCCGGGTGAAGAAGTTCACAACGGGTCTCTTCCTGCACCAATTAGGAAGATAATTCATTTAAATATTCATAACTAAGCATATTAGGTGTAATATAGGAGTTAAATCAAGAATTGAGCAAAAAACATGGAAAATGGGCAAGTTAGAACTCATTTAGGCCATTTCGAGCCGAAAACACTCTAAATGAACCTAAAACTTGTGAAATTGCTTTTTTTAGGTTGTTTCAAGCCACAAATATTCATAACTAAGAATATTAGGTGTAATATAGGAGTTAAAACAAGAATTGAGCAAAAAACATGGAAAATGGGCAAGTTAGAACTCATTTAGGCCATTTCGAGCCGAAAACACTCTAAATGAACCTAAAACTTGTGAAATTGCTTTTTTTAGGTTGTTTCAAGCCACAAATATTCATAACTAAGAATATTAGGTGTAATATAGGAGTTAAATCAATAATTGAGCAAAAAACATGGAAAATGGGCAAGTTAGAACTCATTTAGGCCATTTCGAGCCGAAAACACTCTAAATGAACCTAAAACTTATGAAATTGCTTTTTTTAGGTAGTTTCAAGCCACAAATATTCATAACTAAGCATATTAGGTGTAATATAGGAGTTAAATCAAGACTTGAGCAAAAAACATAAAAAATGGGCAAGTTAGAACTCATTTAGGCCATTTCGAGCCGAAAACACTCTAAATGAACCTAAAACTTGTTAAATTGCTTTTTTAGGTTGTTTCAAGCCACAAATATTCAAAACTAAGCATATTAGCTGTAATATAGGAGTTACATCAAGACTTGAGCAAAAAACATGGAAAATGGGCAAGTTAGAACTCATTTAGGCCATTTCGAGCCGAAAACACTCTAAATGAACCTAAAACTTGTTAAATTGCTTTTTTTAGGTTGTTTCAAGCCAAAAATATTCATAACTAAGCGTATTAGGTGTAACATAGGAGTTAAATCAAGAATTGAGCAAAAAACATGGAAAATGGGCAAGTTAGGACTCATTTAGGCCATTTCGAGCCGAAAACACTCTAAATGAACCTAAAACTTGTGAAATTGCTTTTTTTAGGTTGTTTCAAGCCACAAATATTCATAACTAAACATATTAGGTGTAATATAGGAGTTATATCAAGAATTGAGCAAAAAACATGGAAAATGGGCAAGTTAGAACTCATTTAGGCCATTTCGAGCTGAAAACACTCTAAATGAACCTAAAACTTGTGAAATTGATTTTTTTAGGTTGTTTCAAGCCACAAATATTCATAACTAAGCATATTAGGTGTAATATAGGAGTTAAATCAAGCCTTGAGCAAAAAAATGGAAAATGGGCAAGTTAGAACTCATTTAGGCCATTTCGAGCCGAAAACACTCTAAATGAACCTAAAACTTGTGAAATTGCTTTTTTTAGGTAGTTTCAAGCCACAAATATTCATAAATAAGCATATTAAGTGTAATATAGGAGTTAAATCAAGACTTGAGCAAAAAAACATGGAAAATGGGCAAGTTAGAACTCATTTAGGCCATTTCGAGCCGAAAACACTCTAAATGAACCTAAAACTTGTGAAATTGCTTTTTTTAGGTTGTTTCAAGCCACAAATATTCATAAATAAGCATATTAGGTGTAATATAGGAGTTAAATCAAGAATTGAGCAAAAAACATGGAAAATGGGCAAGTTAGAACTCATTTAGGCCATTTCGAGCCGAAAACACTCTAAATGAACCTAAAACTTGTGAAATTGCTTTTTTTAGGTTGTTTCAAGCCACAAATATTCATAAATAAGCATATTAGGTGTAATATAGGAGTTAAATCAAGAATTGAGCAAAAAACATGGAAAATGGGCAAGTTAGAACTCATTTAGGCCATTTCGAGCCGAAAACACTCTAAATGAACCTAAAACTTGTGAACTTGCTTTTTTTAGGTAGTTTCAAGCCACAAATATTCATAACTAAGCATATTAGGTGTAATATAGGAGTTAAATCAAGAATTGAGCAAAAAACATGGAAAATGGGCAAGTTAGAACTCATTTAGGCCATTTCGAGCCGAAAACACTCTAAATGAACCTAAAACTTGTTAAATTGCTTTTTTAGGTTGTTTCAAGCCACAAATATTCATAACTAAGCATATAAGGTGTAATATAGGAGTTAAATATAGAATTGAGCAAAAAACAAGGAAAATGGGCAAGTTAGGACTCATTTAGGCCATTTCGAGCCGAAAACACTCTAAATGAACCTAAAACTTGTGAAATTGCTTTTTTTAGGTTGTTTCAAGCCACAAATATTCATAAATAAAGATATTAGGTGTAATATAGGAGTTATATCAAGAATTGAGCAAAAAACATGGAAAATGGGCAAGTTAGAACTCATTTAGGCCATTTCGAGCTGAAAACACTCTAAATGAACCTAAAACTTGTGAAATTGATTTTTTTAGGTTGTTTCAAGCCACAAATATTCATAACTAAGCATATTAGGTGTAATATAGGAGTTAAATCAAGCCTTGAGCAAAAAAATGGAAAATGGGCAAGTTAGAACTCATTTAGGCCATTTCGAGCCGAAAACACTCTAAATGAACCTAAAACTTGTGAAATTGCTTTTTTTAGGTTGTTTCAAGCCACAAATATTCATAAATAAGCATATTAGGTGTAATATAGGAGTTAAATCAAGACTTGAGCAAAAAACATGGAAAATGGGCAAGTTAGAACTCATTTAGGCCATTTCGAGCCGAAAACACTCTAAATGAACCTAAAACTTGTGAAATTGCTTTTTTTAGGTTGTTTCAAGCCATAAATATTCATAACTAAGCATATTAGGTGTAATATAGAAGTTAAATCAAGAATTGAGCAAAAAACATGGAAAATGGGCAAGTTAGAACTCATTTAGGCCATTTCGAGCCGAAAACACTCTAAATGAACCTAAAACTTGTGAAATTGCTTTTTTTAGGTAGTTTCAAGCCACAAATATTCATAACTAAGCATATTAGGTGTAATATAGGAGTTAAATCAAGAATTGAGCAAAAAACATGGAAAATGGGCAAGTTAGAACTCATTTAGGCCATTTCGAGCCGAAAACACTCTAAATGAACCTAAAACTTGTTAAATTGCTTTTTTAGGTTGTTTCAAGCCACAAATATTCATAACTAAGCATATAAGGTGTAATATAGGAGTTAAATCAAGACTTGAGCAAAAAACATGGAAAATGGGCAAGTTAGAACTCATTTAGGCCATTTCGAGCCGAAAACACTCTAAATGAACCTAAAACTTGTGAAATGGCTTTTTTTAGGTTTTTTCAAGCCACAAATATTCATAACTAAACATATTAGGTGTAATATAGGAGTTATATCAAGAATTGAGCAAAAAACAAGGAAAATGGGCAAGTTAGAACTCATTTAGGCCATTTCGAGCTGAAACACTCTAAATGAACCTAAAACTTGTGAAATTGATTTTTTTTAGGTTATTTCAAGCCACAAATATTCATAACTAAGCATATTAGGTGTAATATAGGAGTTAAATCAAGACTTGAGCAAAAAACATGGAAAATGGGCAAGTTAGAAATCATTTAGGCCATTTCGAGCCGAAAACACTCTAAATGAACCTAAAACTTGTGAAATTGCTTTTTTTAGGTTGTTTCAAGCCACAAATATTCATAACTAAGCATATTAGGTGTAATATAGGAGTTAAATCAAGAATTGAGCAAAAAACATGGAAAATGGGCAAGTTAGAACTCATTTAGGCCATTTCGAGCCGAAAA